CAGCCAGAGCAGGTATAGAGAGCTGAGCATTGTGGGGTTTTGTTTTTGTATGGGCTGTTGAGGTGTACATACACCTGAAATATCGCTGTGTTTGTTTCTTCTTTTTCTTCTCTTTGCTGCTGCTATGGCGCCTGCATCAGGGGCCCCCCCGCGGGGTGTTGCTGCTGCTGCTGCAGCAGCAGCAGCAGCAGCAGCAGCGCGAGTACAAACAGCAAGAAGAGCAGCAGCAGTACTAGGGATGCTGCTGCTGCTGGTGCTGCTGCCTCCTGCTGCAGTTGCCCAGGGGCCCTCTGATGCCCCCATACTCAGCAGCAGCAGCAGCAGCAGCAGCAGCTGGGCTCCTGCTGCTGCATCCTCTTCTTTATCTTACAGTCCCTCTTCTTTCTCTTTTGCTGCTGCACCTGCTGCTTTCATCTCTCCCTCTATCTCTTTCTCTGCTTCTTCTTCCTATTCTAATGTTGTGCTGCCTCAGGATGCTGCAGCACCAGCAACAGTTTCTTCTCTCTTCGCTTCATACACACCAACTGTCTCCGCATACACCCCAACTGTCTCCTCTTTCTCTACCCCTGCTGCAGCATCAGCGCCTTTCTCTTCTTTCTTTTACACAAGCGATACCCTCCCCATCAGCAGCAGCAGCAGCAGCAGCGGCAGCAGCAGCAGCAGCAGCAGCGGCGGCAGCAGCTTAGGCTTTGCTAGCTACGGTGTCTATACACCTGCAACCTTCTCTGCTGCTCCCTCTTCTTATATCTCATCATACACCCCAATAGCATCCAGCTACTACCAGGCAGCACCAATATACAGCAGCAGCAGCAGCGGCAGCAGCAGCAGCAGCAGCAGCAGCGGCAGCGGTGGCACATACTATGCGCCTTTGTCTGTTGCTACTGAGCTGCTGGGATCGTATATTACGCCGCCAGCAGCAGCAGCAGCAACAGCAGCAATTCCTGCTGCAGCAGCAACTGTTCCCGTTGCAGCAGCAGCAATGCCTGTTGCAGCAACAGCAGCAGCAACACGAGCAGCACCAGTAGTAGCAGCAACTGCTCCGAGCCAAACCGTATCTACAGCAGCACCAGCAGCAACAGCAGCAACTGCAGCAACACCAGCAGCAGCAGCAGCAACAGCAGCAACAGGGACCACCCCTAGCAGCCCAGCAGAGACATCCACAACCGACAGCACGCAGCAGCAGCAGCAGCAGCAGCAGACGGAAGTGCCGGCAGCAGCAGAAACTGCAGCAGCAACAGCAGCAGTCCCTGAGACAGCAGCAGCAGGAGACGCCAGCGCAGCAGCAGCAGCAACAGAAGCAGCAGCAACAAATGAAGCAGCTGCTGCAGTGGCCGCAGCAGAAGCAGCAGCAGCAGCAGCAGCAAAAGCAGCACGGGAAGCAGCAGCAGCAGAAGCAGAAGCAGCAGCAAAAGCTGCTGCTGCAGTTGCTGCCCTACAGGAGGCTCTTAGGGCCCCCCCAACTCCTGCTGCTGCAACAGCAGCAGATGCAGCAGCAGCAGTAGCAGCAGCAGCAGCAGCAGTAGCAGAAACAGCTGCTGCAGTAACCACAGATGCAGTGGTGGTTGTCCCTGCTGCAGCAGCAGAAGAAGAGGAAGCAGCAGCAACAGCAGCAGCAGCAGAAGCAGCAGCAACTCCATCTCAGGAGGAGACAGATGAAGCAGCAAACGCCCAGGAGACTGCCGCACAGACAGCAGCAGCAGCAGCAGCAGAAGAAGAAACAGCAGCAGCAGCAGCTGCTGCTGCAGATACACCAGCAGAAGCAGAAGGGACAGGAGTAGCCCCCACAGAGGAGGAGACAGCAGCAGCAGCAGCAGCAGCAGATTCTGCTGCTGAGGAGGAGCAGCAGCAGCAGCCTCAGGAGCAGCAGCAGCAGCAGCAACAGGAGACAGATGAAGCTACCCGCATGCAGGCAGCAGCAGCAGATGTAATGAGAGAGACAGATGCAGCAGCAGCAGAAGCAGCAGCAGCAGCAGAGACAACGGAGGAAGAGGAGACAGCTGCGGTGCTGCCGCAGACTGCAGCAGCAGCAGAAGCAGCACCACAGGAACCAGAGGAAACGCAGCAACAGCAGCAGCAGCAGCAGCAGCAGCAGCAGCAGCTGGTAGATGAAACCATGGGTGCTGTGTATGAAGCCTCAGGGGCCCTGCCTGCTGTCTCTGGTGAGGAGGAGACAGCAGAGGAGACAGCAGCAGCAGCAGCAGCAGCACCTTCTGTGCCTGCTGCTGCAGCAACAGCAGCAGCAACTACACCAGCAGCAGCAGCAGCAGAAGAAACACCAGCAGCAGCAGAAGCAGCAGCAGCAGCAGAAGAAGAAACAGCAACAGCAGCAGCAGAAGAAAATGCAGCAGCAACAGAAGACGCTGCAGCAGCATTTACAGACGACACTGCAGCAGCAGCAGCAGACGACGCAGCAGCAGCAGCAGCAGCAGCAGCAGCAGCAGCAGCAGACGATGGAATGCTGCCCCCCTCGAGCATAGAAATGTCTCCGCTAATGCCGGCCATTGATGAGCTGCTGCAGTTCACTGCGGAGATTCAGACAGACCCAGCAGCAGCAGCAGCAGCAGCAGCAGCAGCAACAGAAGCAGCAGCAGCACCAGCAGCAGAGTCCCCAGAAGCAGCAGCAGCAGCAGCAGCAGCAGCAGCAGATGAGCAGCTCTCTATGATGAACGAAGAGGCCCCCTTAGATTCTCTCTACGACGACCTGGTGACATACGCAGCAAACGAGGAGCAGCAGCAGCAGCAGCAGCAGCAGCAGCAGGAAGAACAGCAGCAGCAGCAGCAGCAGCAGCAGCAGGAGGAGGTAGAGGTAGTGTACGGAGAAGAAACCGAAGAAGAGCAGCAGCCTCGTCGCCGTCAGGAGCAGCAGCAGCATGTAGTGCTGCAGCAGACTCCACAGCAGCTGCAGCAGCAGCAGCAGCAGCTGCAGCAGCAGCCGCAGCAGCAGCAGCAGCAGCAAGAAGTTGTGATTCGTTTGCTTACAGGGGACCTAACTCCTGCTGCTATAGCGGAGACGCTCAACAAGCTAGCACAGGCATTAGGGTTCCCAGCAGCACCTGCTGCTGCTGCTGCTGCTGATGCTGCTGCTGCTGCTGCTGCTGCTTCTCCCCCGACACCACTCAGCTTCTACCCTTTTGCTGCTAGAGAGGAGCTGCAGCAGGAAGCAGCAGCAATTGAGGTGCAGCAGCCAGAGAATGAAGAGCAGCAGCAACAGCACCAGCAGCAGCAGCCAGTGGCATACGAGGCAGTGCAGCAGCAGCAGCAAGAGCAGCAGCAGCAGCAGCAGCAGCAGCCTGTTGTGTATGTGCAGGAGCCTCAGCAGCAGCAGCCAGTGACATACGAAGCAGTGC